TCCCTGGTTTTGGGGAGAGGTTGCTTTTGTATTCAAACAAATATAGGTATCTTATAGATTAATATTAAAGTTTGCATACATTTCATGTTGTTAATAAGAATTTCAAAATAACTACATGATTGTAATGAGATGTTTATATACCCCCAACACCCTAGATTTCCCCTCTTCTTCTTTTAGAAGTACTTTGGAAACAACATTCAAGAAGCATCATACCACACTGTTAAGTCAGGACGAAGGGAGCAAACTGGTTTTTAGCTACTGAAAATAGAGAAACATTTCTAAAACACAAAGGTTAGTTCCATAGCATAAGGAAACAGATCTATCCAAGATGCTATTGATATTTTATACTTAATGTATATGAGGATATATAAGATCTCATAAACATACTCCAGCCAAAAAAGTACATATATGTGTTAAAGCAGTGCTTGGAAAAGTCATGTTTAAAGTCAAAATTGTCCCTCTTTCACTTGAAACTAAGAGAAAAATCATTTTCAAAACATTTGAGAGTTCAGAGAGAGAGGGAAAGAAAGCAAGAACAAGGAAAAGGAGGAAAAAGTAAATCACTTTTCTTTGTGTCAAGGAAAAAAAATTCACAAGCTCATTTGTGTCTGGCACCCAATTTCTAGCTTAGCAATCCAGTTCTATGAACTTAAGCCTTCACGGATGAGTGCTTTTGAATTAGAGGATAGCATTACTCAATTAACTCGGAGACTAGCCATTTCAACAAATATATTTAGCTATGGCACATATTTCAATCCTAAAATAAGAATGTCAGCTATAAAACTAAATTCAAAATTTCAGTTGTTTTTCTCTCAGCCCCTCCCACACACACTACAAATCTGAATACTATGAATCCAAGAAGCACTTAAATAAATATGGTGTGCATTCTAGGTTGTATGGTAGGTCTTACTGCTTTAGTTACTTGGAGCCTGTCAAAGTACAGGCTGCCACACATGAGTAAGGAAATCGATGTCCTACATGTCATGTTATTAGGGCTTTGTCCTTAGCCAGTGAAAGTAGATGTTTGCCTTATTGGAGCAAGAGAAGGTGACATGGGCTGTGAAGTAGTGGCTCTAGGCTGTACAGCATCGCTGCAGCGCTCACCATGCTGAGCTGGAAAGCTCGCTGGGCCAACAAGCAAGCTCACCAGAAGACAGAACTGCATGGTAAAATTAGACAGAAGGAAGAAGAATTCCCCAGTACAAAAGACCACGTAAATGCAGCCATATGTGTAAAATATTGCCATATGTACACACACACACTCCCCTCTCACGTGTTTTATCAGCGTTTCTGAGTAATTGAGATGTTATTAAATTTTGTCTACAATGACACTTCTACTACAATGACAACCTGCCAACCAAAAAGTTCTGGTTAATGTTAAATTCTGTTTTAAACACAAAAGGCCTATATATTACCTGGGCTTAAGAAGCTGTCTACCACATACCAGAAGCACTTTCAAATTTAAAGGTGTTAATTTATTGGTGACATTAACATATCTCTGGCTATTTTCCCAAGATTTCCAAGGTATACGCCATGAGAAGTATTATTATGATCATCAGTTATCACACTGTAATTGGCATTAACCTGACTCTCAATTTAAGAGAAAAAGAGAGACAGAGAATGTGAGTGTGTGGGCGGGGTGGGTGGGGGAGGGGGGTGCTGAGTAGCAATAGGGAATTTTTGTCTTATAAGTTTTCTGACTTCTGAAAACCACTTGAATGTAAATATATTTTAAATTTTATGTTTCACTAAATAACTCACAAATTAAAATGATCATAACTCAAGAAGTTATAATCTAATTCTTGAGCACTTACTGTGTGCCAGGTACTATTCTAATAAACTTGCATATAATAACTTATTCAGTCACAACAACAATTCTTTGAGATAGGCACTATTATGCCCTTTTTATACTTGAGGAAATTGAAAAGTTAAGTAAGTTGACAAAGTTGCCAAGCTCCACAGCTGATAAAGTGCAGATTTGGGAGTCAAATCTGACAATGCATGCCTGCGACTCTAGGCCATGCTACTTTCTGTTAGCAGGGGACAACAGGATCTTATGTAACCCAAATTCAATTTGGTATTGAGTGCGGGACAGGTAAGACCTGAGGCCTCCGCAGCAATTCTCACTCAGACCCAAGTTAAATCAGAGTTGCTCCACTTCAACTACCCAAGATCTCTAGCTGGCTCCCCCAGGAATACTTTCTGTGCCGGCTGTTTGGAGAGAAACAGATAGTTTGAGCCCATGTGACGATCACATCCGTTTTGGGGGAAGCATATGAGTAAGGGAGGAGGAGCTGCAGTTGCATTCTTGTAGACTTAAAAAAAAGAAAGTTACTAATATGAGCAATGAAGCACAAGTTCCCATCATACAGATCCAGACTGTATGGAAATGTATCTGGAATACAGACTGGATCTGTATGATAGGAAGGTGAACATGTGGTACAATGACTAGGCAAAGACATTATATATCCAAATTTACAAAGATTTATAGAATAGACATGGATTCCACATTGTTACAGTCTGGTTGCAAAGCTGATAGATGTGAAGTACTCTGTGGCTGTTTTTACTAAACTATGGGTAAAGATTTCAGAATTGTCTCTCATGCTTAAGTCAAACCAGTAGCAATTTAAATGTAAGGTGCGGTTACAAGGTCTCAGAAAAACAGTCCGATGTGGAAATAGGAAAACACTGCGCATGAATGATGAACAAAAAGACAATTGTTTCAAGGCTTGTAGTTTATCATTGTCATTTTTACTTACGTGAAAACAAATACAAGTGATAGGATGTATATAGCCTAAAGAAGATTCATTCATAAAGAACCATAGGATTTTGGTGAACAAGTTCAACTTCTGCATTTTGCATAAATAAAGCCAAGGTCATCAGAATTCGCAGTCTGTGTGCAGGTGTTAGCTTCAGCAGTAGGGAAGATGTATGGAGGAGGAAGGCAAGAAGGGGGTATGGAAAGCCCTAGAAGCCCTGGTGTTTGACAGGTGGACCCACCAAGGGCAGCCCATGAAAGCAGCTGGTCAGGAGCAATGCAGAGGGAGCCAGGAAGCCAAGAGGTGTGATGTTTTGGGAGCTTGGAAAGAAAGGAGTTTTAGAAAGAACAAGTGATTGTGTTGGATGATAACCAGAGGCCACAGAAGACGGACACCGGGAAATGTTCATTACATTTGTTGGTTATCGATCAGTGGAGACCTTAGCAAAAGCAGGTTTTGTAGCATGATTGCAATGGAAGCTTGCCCTGCTTTAAGCAATGAATGGGAGTTAAAGAAAATAAGACAGTAAGGGTGGAGCCTGCATTCAATAAGCTTAGAGAAAAGAAAAAGATGGAGAAATGGACAAAGAAATGATTAAGGAAAAACAATCTGTAGGGAATGAGAAGAAACAATTTGAGGAAAGACAGAGAAAACTAGGGTCTAAGCTGAGGCTGATCGACTCGCCTCGATAGCAGCTACCCAGCTTCCTCTCAGATGATTATACGTACAGCTAAGCGGTTCTTGCAACTGATATTTTACTTTTTAACTTTTCAAACTCTGTGGAATTTATTTTGATAAATAAGATAAGTTTAATAGACACCCTTCCCTTATGGCCTATGATACATTTTGAATGAGTGAATAATAAACAGTCAGCCTCAGGCCTAGACCCTCCACAGCCAAAGGACTGAGCTGAGCCCTTATTGGAGCAGAGGCCTTCCCACTTGCTCCTTCGCCTTCAGCCTTCACTCAAACACTCACTGGAACAGTTTCCTCATTCCCCAGATCCTTCCACGAGCTACAGAAATGAGGTTCGCACGCCATCAGGAAACACTGAGATTAATGGGGAGGAGTTAAACTATCTTCAATCTTGTGAAGGCTGGCAGTTTCTCAGCCTTGCCAACTATCTGTTTTCTTTGCTTGGCTTCTGCCAGAGGCAAAAGCCAGCCACAAGTAGAAGAAAAGGGTGGCAGCAGAAAAGAGTAAAAGAAGAAAGGAAAGACAGAGAACAGGAAAGATTTGCTGCTAAATTAAACCCGAGAGCAGGTTAGAAAACGCAGGTCGGTCGCAGAATTAAAAGCTGCCCATGGGTGTTTGTTTAAGATTATGCAGATTACCTGTAGCATTGGATGATCCAAACAGGTTTCCCTCTATACACACGCTCTTACCAGAGAGCTGTTAGAGAAACTCTCCTCAGAACCAAAAACTCCATGTGCAAAGTCTTTTATGGGTCTTTTCTCCAGTAAGAGGTCAAGGCAGCATTATCTGAAAAGTCAGGTTGCCCTGACATTTCAGCAACACCTACTTTCACATTCTTTAATTATAAAATCTGAGATCTATCTTTCAAATTGGATTAGATACACCTTCATTTCTACCATTTCACCCTTATTTTAAAGGTCTGCAAGCCTCTTTTCAGGTGGGGCATAAAAAAAACCATTATTACTTTGTAAGAACTACTCATGTGAGCCAGAATTTGATCATTAAATTTACCCCAGAGGCCCTAACGCAAGTTGTCTTGCATGGTCATTCTAAGTTCTTGCCAGTCCTCCCCGATTTTCAAAGTGATAGACAATAATGCAGTTCTATTTTTTGTAAAGATATATTTATTCAAGAAGTACCCAGCACATGCTTGGCATTGGGCTGGTTGCTAAGGATATTAAGATGAATGAGATATAAAATTGGCCCCTCAGGATTGCATTTAGAGAAAAAAGGACAAATATATTTTTAATTTCCGCAATCTGATTTCTTTGGAGGTTTGTTTAATATCCTTCCCTAGAATACCAAGACATATGATATATCCATTGCCTTGTGTATTATTAATGAAGCCACTTTATCATGAACACACAAAAGAATACATAAAACTTTGCTATGCAAAATAAAAGTTCTAGATAAAGAGACTTCATCTAAAAGAACACATGAGAATATAAAAAATGCCAACCACCCTCCTGCCCGATCCTAGGAGGCAGTAACAAAGACAAACATACGCACATACACACACACTCCAACAACCACAAAAAAACTTACCTGACTTGCCCACGCCTGCTCTTCCAAATATTGCCAATTTGACCTCTGCACTTTTAGCCATACTGGGGGTTGGTAGACAACTCAACTCACTGTCGTTCAAACTGAAGAGCTGAGAAAATCGTTGTGGTTCCAGCCTTTGGGTTCACCATATCATTGTAAATCTGCAATCTTTAAAGACAAGAGGTTTAGGAATTCATAAATGACTGTAGAAAGGAACTAACATTTATTAAGCATCTCCTCTACACCAGCCACCATTGGACTTTATTGTTTTCCCTTTTGACCTTCACCACATACTGTGAGAGGGCTATAGTAATTTACTGTAAAATACTCAACTATGAAATGACAGATCCAGGACTTGAACTTCAATATGTTTTTGTTCTAAAGCATATGCATTTTCACTCACAATAGCATTTTCTAAAGTACTTCCTCAAAGAATATTTTTATGAAGGCATCGGTTGTCAGTAATTTGAAGTACGTGACGATATGCATTTACCCTGTGTTTGTAAACATCCAAGATGCAGACATATCTGATGGGAGGAGTCATATTTGGAACTCTTTATTTCCCTTTGGGACAAGTAATATACATTCATATCAGTCAACCCCAATGTAACTTGCTTTTCAAGGTTTAAATTTTATCTCAGTTCACACTAGATCACATGATCAAGTCATGTGATAGATATGCATGTTCCAGGAATTGATATATAATAGTTAGATCATATTTTAATATTTCTCTAGGCACCATGCCCTGGTACACAAAAGACAAATGCTATGTCCTGGCTTTTGATTTTTTTTCCTATGACTTCAAGTAAATTATCTTACGGTATTGTCCTAACACTTGGGAAATTACGTTACATACAACGTAAGTGCATTTTATATAGGTGGGTGCTTTAGGAAGGACACCTAGGTTGTTACTACCATAGAAAAGAGCCTTGGAGTCAACGAAAGATTCCTCCAGCCACCTCAGGAATCCTTTGTTATGATCAGACAATCATCTAACAACCATCCTGTGTCTAATTTACCACTTTCAGGTATGGAGGGGAAGGAGGAGGATTAAGTCAGCTTTTTCTTTTCTTTCGCTCAGAACCCTTCAAGAAATCTAGCAGCTATGATGGCCATTTGTCCTATCCTGACTACTTTCTTGGTAAAACACGGGCCAGCATCTTCCCTTGTTCATGATAGGATGTATGGTGTTACACGTTTTTTTGACCCTCACTTTCCATCTTCACCGTATGCAGCTCTCTCCTTTGGCACTTGCCATTTTGATCAGTCTAAAAATGCGGCATCTATTGCATTCACCATGTGAGATGTGACCTGACAGACTGACCCAGCAGAAGTTCACTGAGATTTTCCCGATTGATTATCTGGGCACTGTGGTGGTATTGCCGCACAACCACTCATATATGGAGGCTCTCATCTTCCACATGAGCTGCAGACTTGCGCATTCTGAACTTCTGCAGTCAATGTTTTAAACCTAAATACAAAGACTTCGTTTTTATCCTTGTTAAACTTAATCACATCGGTCTTCATCCATTTTTCTACTCTGTAAAAAAGGATTTTGAAATACAAATTTGTTATCTAAATGCTCCTGTCAGTGTTTTGTCATCTACAAATTTTCAAAAACAGCTCTTCCAGTGGAAGATAAAAGTAAAAATCCTTCTGAAAAAGTATTTCCACAAAGACACTAACACATAATTGTTTTATTCATTATGCATCTGAGCCATCAACCTGTACCTAACAAATTTAGAATTTGCTGATTTCCAAAGTGCCAGAGCCTCTTCTGAAGGATGAAAAGGTTAACAGTAACATTAGCTAGTGTTTACTTCTTCCCCAATAATGAACAAACTTCTTAGTAATCATTAATGGTACAAACCCAGAAGCTTTAACATCTGTAATCTGTCCAGTCCCATATTTTGGCCAAAGATAAAAGGATTACCTTATTTTAATTTTATATGCATTCATTAAGAAGAGGCCTCTTATGTTTCGTGCTTCATTGCAGAAGTTTCAGAGAAGCATTACATATAAAGATACATTAACTATGTAAATTCTGTATGAGAATGGCAAGCATTTTCTTGAAACATAGACTGTGCAAGTGTCTGGAGCTGGTATAAAAAACAATGCAAAATTGTTAATTCCCATGCACATAAAATCAATCTAATTACCTATTTGATGTTTCATGAAAGTAATCATCAAATGTGATTTTTAAAAACATTTGGTAAGTCAAATATTTCAGTAACTCCCAAAAGGCCTCAGAGGAATAGGAATTCCACATAAGAAAAAGCAATTGTTTGGATTATTTTTTTCACTTATAATTGAGCAAAGATACAGCTGGTTATTGTCAATCTTATGTCATGTTTAGAAAAATGACTTAACACAAGACACAAGCTGACATATAGCCGTCAATATTTTATTTCTCTCATGAAATGTGAAAAGTTACATTTGACAAAGGCAAAAGACAAAGATAAATGTGTAAATTATTGTAATAAGTGACCTGTTGCCAAATTTATGATGTTCAAAATAATTTATAAACCAAGATCTTCCATAACTTGGATCTAAAAAACACATTTGTCTTAATGTTGTGCAGAAGTGTTCTCGCTGAGTGTAGAAGCTGCCATTCACTTTCTATATAGACAGTGCTTTATTAGGACAAAAACTTCTGAGTTTCTATCACTCCTAAAGCCAAAATCACACCTAGATATTTGAGAGATAAATGGTGATGTTTTTTTCCTCTAAACATAAAAGACCTAAAAGAAAGCTTAGAAAGAAGATAAAAAGAAGCCAGCCTCCAAATCCTATGTTGATATTAATGCAATGATTGATTCATTCCACACTTAACACTAGGCGTATGGAAACAGAGTGGCTACCTCCAGCAGCAGCTTACAATCTGTTAGACCTATGACATTTAGGTCATTAATGACCTCATTTAAATATATATACTTAAGGAAAGCCTTCATTCATAATATATCATTCCCAAGACTACTTGTCAAGGCCCATGTTTTCCACTTCCTCGTGGGGGGGGGGGCGGTGCGTAAAAAGCAAGCATCTTTATAAGGTAATAGTTTTTCTAACTTCTGCATTTATCATTAAAATAAAGTGCAGCTGTTTAGGGAAGCAAAGAATCTAGTCCGGTCGTGGGAATGAAATTCTCTTTGGGCTGCGCCTTCTCTAGCTCTGAAACCAAGTTTTCCTCATCTCATGACTGGGAATTTTCCCTCATCTTACGACGCAGCACCCACGACGATGAGAATAATTGTACAAGACCCATGGCTATGGCGCTGCTCCGAAAGCAACAGGTATCTGGAATGATAAACAAACAAGCCCACTGCCGCCTGCAGGTTACTTGCTGGCAGCCTAGAGAGAAAAGGCAGTCCAAGTCAAAAGGGTATTCTCGGTCCCAGCTCGGAGGGCGCTGTCAAACTCTGGGCGCCGGCGCTCACATCTCCCTCTCAGCGAGACCCAGAGCCTCCCTGGGAGACCCAGGGACCTGGAGGATCCACCCAGAAGCCGAGCGTTGAGGAACATCGGAGGACTGCAGGAAATCGTCCCGAAAGAACCACCTGGGCACGTGCGTGACACTCACCTGTTCACAATCTCCAGGCCCGGGAGGACGGCGGCCCCCTGCAAGTTTGGAATCGGTCCCTCCCGGGACCGTGAAGCCCTCCCACACCGCGTAGCCCAGGGTGCAGGCTGCGTTTCCGAGTTGCTGGGCTGTGATCGCGATTGTGAGCAGCGGCGGCCCCAGCAAGTGCGGGCGGACTGGCGGGAGTCTCCTCGCTTGCACTCGCCCCGACTAGCGGCCAAGGACTGCGGCAGGACGCGCGCGAGCTCAGCCGGGCCGGGGCCGCGACGCTCCGCCGCCAGGATACTGCAGTGCGGCACTTCGGCGCCCCCTACTGGGGCCAGGGACCCGCTCCCGCCGAGGTGCTGCCTCCCCCAAGGAGAGCACGGACTATCCGCCGTCTCTTAGGGGCACCAGAGTCAAATTTCCTTTATTCCCCTGCTCAGTTCCTGGCCTTTAGCTTCTTGCACAAAGACCTCTTTATTTAGTTAAAATGTTGCGTGTGAAATCAGCACTACGTGGTGTTTTCTATTCCTGATTTTAAACGATGCTCAAAACATCCCTTTGAGGTCCGTTTAATTATCCCCCCGAAACCTAAGAAGAAACTGAAAGAGAAGATCAATAACTTGTCTAAGGCCAGTATCTTGTTGGAATGAAGTCCAGGGCGGATTGGAAGCTCAGATATGCTAGGAAGGGCATCAGTACTGATTCAATTAAAATTTATTGCTACATATTTGAGACAGTTCCAAAAGCTTCATGTCCTCCTTACAAGATCAGTATTTATGTTTTAATTGACGTCAAACTCATGCTCAAAATCTAACAAAGATGGTTAATTTTTGTGCTGTGCTAGACCTGCTTCCACCTGTCATCTCATTTGATACTTATACGTCCTTTGGGATAAGCACTAGTTTCATAATGTTTAGCCTTTCACAGATGAAGAGGTGAGTTTCAGCAGGTTAAAGGATTTCCCAAAGACTATCAAAGGAGCAGGAAACACCCTGGCTATTTTTTTTTTTCCCCTTCAGAATCTGGGTGTTTTTACCAAGATACCAGGTGGCCTCCAGAAAATCACTGGGATATAGGGCAAACAGGGAGTGAGGGCTAAGTGCACAATCCGCATTATGTCCTTGGTGGAAGAGATGTAATGGGGTGGGAGGTGGAGCATTTTCCAGGGCCAGTACTGACGTAGAAACTCACTTCATTGTCCTGCTAATTCTTTGAAAAAGCTCAGATTTACCCTCTATGATTTTCCTGATCGTTAGGCTCTCTTCCCAGCATATGTGTGCATCAGATGACCTTATTCTATATTAAATAGAACCCTGTTATCTATCATCATGTTTACATTAAACTCATTTTTATTTCTCAATCTCCATTAAACCTGAACTTTCTGAATGTAGGGATATATCGTACGTGTCTCTATTTCTAGCCTCTACCATCATGCTTGACGCATAGTGAGCATTCAAAAAGCAGTTGTTGAATGAATGAAAGGAATTATGTTGCGATGGGGATATTTGATTTTTTTTTTCACTTGCTGAATTTGGGATAGAATAACCAGTAAGAAGTTGACCATATGGGTCTAAAGTTCAGGAAAAAGATCTGGAAAAAAATTTTTATGTCTCAGCATGCAGGAAGTCATTGAAGTCAAGTGTCTTGAAAGCATTGCCCGTGTTGATTATGTAGCAGTTTATAGAAATCCAATTATATACAATTTTGTGGCATTAAGATGTTTAGGGCTCACATGCTACCTTCTTTCTTTAGCCAATCATGTATTTGTGGAAGGATTTAATACAAAATATCCATGAATAAATAGATGTAGGTAGATAAATAGATAGATACATCTCCTATTTACAAAGACTTAAATTGAAAATCCCACTTTGTCTTGCTTATCTAATTGGAATTATTGGAGAGGTCTCAGGCCAGTCCTCTTTTGTAGCAGTGCTTTGGGACCTTTTCTACGGAACCTGTTCCTCTGCTTTCCTACTTAGCCCACATAGACCAGCAGTCCTCTCTCTACTACGGGAGCATTTATCTGCATGCACAACCTCCAGTTCTTGGGATGTACGATGTCAAGAGAGATGAATAGCTGTATTGGAGCCTGAGACCAGTGCTGTATCTTCAGAATATATCCTCTATTCAATGGGAGTGTTTTCTTTGTCTCAGAAGCAGCAAAAAGGAGCCAGCCTCCCTTATGTTGCCTGCTTCATGGATCAGTAAGGACAGAGAACACTCTGCACTTACGGCTACACAATATGTGTTTGCTGGGCAGGAGTTTCCCTGGGGAGAGGTCTTGTCATCTTTCAGTCTCTTAGACTGCCTTCAGCCTTACGTTAAAACTTTTAACATAGAACTAGTAGATAAAGAGTCAGTATAACCCAAAAGCATTAAAAACGAGAATTTTGTGTATGTGTTTATAGTTGCTAATCATGTTCATTGTAAATAATTCAAGTAATAGAAAAAAATATAAAGAAGTAAAAACTCACCCCCCAAATCACACTATCCAGAAATGACCGTTGTTACCGTCAGAGAACCATCATTCCAGATACTGTAGAACACAGTTGAATTAATAGATATGCTCAATGTCAGATAGCTTTGCTAACTGCTATCACATATTTTAAATAAATAATTAAAAGCTATTTTAAATTTAAAAATACACAAGCAGAAGATAAAGAGGTTAAAGTAAACCTTAAAAGATGACTGAACTTTAGGTCTTTATAAATATAGCCTTGGGATATTCTAGCCTAAAGATTCCTCTAAAGGTAAATTTGTTATACAAACTCAGGTATGAATTCATTGTGTTTAACCTTATATTTGCTTATATTTATATAGTTATTTATATATTTATATGGTTTATATTTAACCATTATTTGTTTTAGTCAATATCATTTGACTTCTTACTATTTAAAAAGGAAGAAATCAGCTCTCTTATTTATACCTCTCCCTCCCTCTTCCTTCCTCCTATACTTTTACTTCTGTATTATTTATTCTTCATCAAGATTTACGTTTGTGTTTGTTCTGTAATTCTAAATCCCAAAGTGGTCTAAACTTATGCAAAATAGGTAAATGCATTTAATTATTTTATCATAGATTTTCTATTACTGGTTCTTTATTTTGATTAATTCCTTCATTTCTTCATTAAGTAATGTTTTCAAGAAGATCTTACAGGTGCTGTATTGTATAATTGAGAATAGTTATCTCTTCCTTTTCTATTGTTTTTAATTTATTTTTTTGTTGCTCAACTTTTTATTATAATCCTTTTCTTCTTTTTTCATACCTATTTATACCTACATTATATTGCTTATTTTTTAATCACATATATTTCCTGTGACACATAATAAGTGAATTCTACTTGGCTCTGCTCTTACCTTGTGTGACACCTGTTTGTTGTCTCTGTGAAGGAATGGTTTGAGGGCTGCGCATTTCACTCTGTCTACCATCCTGAGATGAGGAGATAAAGCAGAGAGAAGTCATCTGAGTCTCTGTGGAGCCTCTGTTAACGGTTACATGATCTGCTGCTTTTCTCCGAGGTTTTATTAAAGACCCTGTACCAGGACCTAGGGCAAGAGTCAGGGTCAAACAACATTCCAAAGAAAAGATTCTTTCAGGCTTGAGGTGGCTTCCCTTATTCTTTCTTGGAGCCCGAAGCCATTTTCATGATGACTACTCCTTCCGTCCCTTCCTCATGTCACAAAAGGATAAGAAAAATTTGTCATTCATTTCACTGCAATTTTTTAGGGTTTTCTCACTCAGGATCTGAGGACTCATCCATTCTGCTTCTAGAAGGCAGGGCAGTTTATACCATGGCTTTTTTTTTTTTTTTTTTTTAAATTTCATCAGAAGTTTCATTGTGAAGTTTAAAGGCAAGAAATCATACCTCTTCCTTCATTTTGCTGATGCTCATGATTTTTTTTTTTAACTTGAGGGGGAATATTTATTGTTATTGTTTAGTTAGTTCAATATTAGGTAAGGACAAATCTGATATGGGCCATGATTGGACTTTCTCTCCGACAGGAAAAAGCTATAAAAGCTAACTAAAATACACAAAAGAGCTATTTTGGAAGCATTAGGAAACAACCTGCCACCCCTGAAGGAGAGTGTGTACTTGAATTTTGTCCCACATTCACCACATTTTCTTGTTGGGAGCATCTGAAGGACTTCTTGTCCATGAAAGTGGAGCCCAGACAACAGTAAGAGGTAGAGTCCAGTTGGGTTCAGAAGGTTAAAGGGTCACAGAGGATAGCCACAGAGAGAGAACCCCAGATATTTGCCAGAAATGCCCCTGGCACCTTGGCCATTTCCTGGGTTGCACATTGTCCGGTGAGCCTCTAGGAGGCCTGGTAAAAGAGCAACTGCCTTGGGTCTGACAGCTAGGTGGGGATTTCAGAGATCTGAGTCCTGGGAAGACACAGGGGGTGAGCCCTAGCCAGAGTTTAAAGAACTTTGTGAACAGCCTGGACATTCTAGAAGTGAGGACCGTGCTTTAGAAATAAGGGCTTTAATCTAGGTGTAACTCAAATCTGAAATACAGGAACAAGTTAATCCGCAGGTAATTTACCTGCCTGCCAACAGAAAACTCAACTGCCCTGAAAAAGTTAATATAATTCGGAGCCTTGTAGGGGAGGAACAAGTTTTCCTCTACCCTTGCAGTTCTTCTGGCTAGTCCAATCATCAAATAGACATGAGACAGATTATCAAAAGAAATCAACCAAATGTAATACATATGTATGCTTGGGAACCCTGCATACATGAGTAAGATACTCCATATACATGACAGGTTCAAAAATAGAAAGAGGAATTGAGGCATAGAAGACATCCCAAGCCAGGGATGAAGTAAAGCACTTGGGGATTTCCAAGGGAGATTGTGGGATGACATGAAGAACAGGCAGTTAAGAAACAGAAGCTTGCCCTGCCTTGGAGATAGGTCAAAAGAAGTTATCTCTGATAATCTCTTATTTGGGGCAAGGCCCCTGATTTTAAGGTCTTCCAGAAGTTAAAGGAAAGGCCAGGAGACCCTCCCGAGCCTGAAGCTAAAATTGCGTTTAGCTCAAAGTAATCCGTATACACTGACGCACATCTTGGAGTGGCTCATTCTGAACCGCAACAGCTTCTCTATCATTTAGCATTAGTTGACTTGGGCTGCCATAAAAGGCCGGATAACTTAAATGATGGAAATTTATTTCTCGCAGT